GTGTTTCGGGCGGCCCCCCCCCCGCCGCGAGGCGGCCGAGCCCCCGTCGCGACCGGCTCCCCCCGCCCCACGCGTGTCTCCGCTCGGTGGCTTCCCCCCCCGCGACCTTGTGGCCCCCGTACCTTGGCTCGCCTCCCGCTGCAGCGGGGCCCCGGTGGCCGGGCAGCTCCCGGGAGCGCCGCCCCTCCGGGAACGCCGAGGCGGAGCCCGGTAGCGCGGCGGGGAGCCGGCCCCGTCGGAACCGGGGAGGGATCGGCCGGTGTCACGGCTCCGAGCGGCCCCTGCGGGCAACCGAAAGCCAGAGAGAAACAGCGGGCGGGCCCCGGTTCGTCCCGCCCCCGCAGAGCCGTGCCCCGGGGAACCCCGTTGGAGAACGGCCCTACCCCGCCCCCGGGACCTCGGGGGAGGGAACCGGCCCCGGGACACCGAACCACTGCACTGCTCTTAACCTAAGGGAGCCAGAGCAGAGCAAGCCAGTTTGCTAACTGGAGAATAATGGTGTGGGCTTACAGCAGCAAAGCATTTTAGGTTGCCTGGAAGAATGCCTTCTCACTTCAGTTTAAATGCTAAACTTTTGCTGCCAGAGGTAAAATGCATTCGTGAGATTATTTTTTCAATGAGAAAAGAACACAGCACCCACCCCAGCACCTTCTTGCGATGGATGTTGAGAAGCAAAACCCAGTATTGATGGTGTGAACGAGTTCACCACTGAGCTGCTTGCCAGGAGCACCCAGCTCACATCTTCAGTGCACAAAACCAAACTGCTTCACACATCCCAAACGCTCCAACGTTGCTCTGCTGCCTATGGACATGCACACCCCCCATTCCATGCCCTCCCCACACAGCACAGGCTCCTGGAGCACGCCAAAATCACAGGAACAGCATAATTAAGAATAAGAAAGCTAAATCATTTTTTCAGTCGTGCCCAGTGACAGGACAAGAGGAAACAGAAACAAACTGGAATATAAGAAGTTCCATCTAAACATGAGGAGGAACCTCTTCACTTTGAGGGTGGCAGGGCCCTGGAACAGGCTGCCCAGAGAGGTGGTGGAGTCTCCATCTCTGGAGACATTCAGAACCCACCGGGACACGCTCCTGTGCAACCTGGTCTAAGAGGACCTGCTTTGGCAGGGGGTTGGACTAGATGATCTCCAGAGGTCCCTTCCAACCCTGTATCATTCTGTGATTCTGTAAATCCTGGAGGGGCTGCCACCACAGCTGTCATCCTTACTGCTGTGTTTAGCAAATTAGAAGCTGGTATTTTCTTGAGAAGCTAATAAACTGAGGTTTTAAAATTGCTGCCCCAGAGCTGGTGGTGTTTCTGTTGGCATCCTGCAGAATTCAGGCTTCTAACTTGGGTGGAGACTGGCAGAGCAGAGCCTTGCCCCAACCCATCCCACACCAGTAGCTTTCTGCCCTGCTCCAGAACTGACCTCTGCCAGTTCCCACATACAACCCCACGGTTTTGGGGTTCCCATCTGGTCCTTGGTTCACAGAGAACGTAGATTTGTTTCGGTAGCCATTAATGACGGGCTGAGGGAGAAAAGAAGGAAAAGTAAAGCCTTGGATTAAAAGAAAAAGTACTGGAGGAAAGCCCAAAACACAGCCTGCTTGTTCCGTTGGCAGCACAGGAAGATACACATGAATGTGCAAAACGCAGAAACAGAGTTTGTGCACAAGACCCCCAATACTTCCCCTCGGGAAGAAGAAATGGCTCTCTGCGACAGAATGGTGACAGGTTTATCAGGGAAGGCTTGTTTTGTTCTCAGCAGTCACAGGCTGCAAAGCAGAAGCCAGCAAGGACTGCCACAGACACCTTCCCTGCAACCAAGCAATCCCCACCATAAGGCTCTTCAGGAGTCAAGTGAGAGACTGTTAGCAGCTCAGAGGGGACAATATTCCTGTGGGATACTCACTGAAGGGACTACAGGCTGGAGAGGACAGCAGAGTCCACCAGGTTTCTGCCCATCTACGCCCAGCTCCTTGAGACGAGACGCCAGTGTCTGCAAAACCTTCCTCTGGCTTTCATGCTTCACCTGCAGAGGAGTCCTAAGCCAGAAACACTCTCAAAGGACCACCCTGGGGCAGGGTGAGCAAGAACAAAACACCTAAAAAACGGTGGGCAGCTCTTCATCACCCACCTCTGGGAAGGCCAACAGGCGGGAATACCGCAAGGGGGATAGAGCCCTAGAGGAACTTTGCCTTTCTCATCACCATAGCTGCTTGGAGCAATGGGGAGAGAAAGAAATCCTGTGTCCACGGTCCCCAAGTGCTGGCCTGGAGCACTTGGTCCAACCTGAAGCCCCAGTGAATCTGCTGTCCCACACTGGACAGGATCGCTGTGCTGTTGGTGATCACACACACCACCCACAGGGAACCTCCCAGTTCTATCCTTCATAATAACTGAAGAAGTAAAGCAGCAGTAAACGGGGTCTGAAGAGTTTACAGCATTAAGCGACTAAGATGCTAGGGGCTGTTGCTCCAGGGAGACAGGAGGGACAGTTGGGACAGCACAACGGAGAAAAGTCCACGTAAGCACATCTTACCTGCAGCTGCTCTTGGTAGGGAAGTCTCCACAGCGGAGTCACCGCGTTTGCTAGCCTGGAAAGCACAACATCACGGTAGTGCCCAGAGCTACTCACCTCCTGATACTTAGGGCATAACATCCCCACCACCTGCTTCATGGGCAGGACCCTTCTGGTACGGGCTCTGCCCCAGAGCTGGCTGTGAACATCCAAACTCCCTTTTCATGGCACCTTCCTGGTGCAGAACACTTGTGGCTGGAAGAGGGACCCAGGAACCACAATGACCAGTTCTCCAGAGGACAGGCTGAGCCTTTGGCAGAAGTCTGACCAGGGAGACCTGGGTGTTCTGGGTTACCCAGGTATCTTTCTGATCCCCCTTGAGAGGACAGGGTGAGGAACATGGACCCAGAAAGACCCTTGGTGAGATCTGACTCCAGGCTGGTAAAGCCAGGGGAATGAGTATTCAAATGTTACTGGGGTCAGAGGGAAAAAACTAACAACAAAGTGCAGGCGAAGGGAAACAAAGGGAAAAAAAGAAATCATTCTGTAGCTTCAGATGGACTCTGTTGCTTTCTCCCAGTGAATCAGAGGCTTTGGCCATCCCTTGCTGCTCCGAGGACAGCCCGAGTCCCATCTCCCTGGAGCTTTCCCCTAAAAGGGCACGATGCTTCTCTCATCCCTCGAAGCATCCATCCTGCATCATCTGCCTGCTCACATTTCCAGCCACGCACGACTGTGTCCTTTTTGCCAATGCTGTACTAGATTTAATCCACCCCAGGGAAATGGACAGTTTGTGTGGAGCTGGCAGGGAATCACCAGCTGCCCACTCTCACTGACCAGTTCAGAGATAAACCTCAGAACTTGCCACTACTTGTATCTGGGCCAGGGCAAACAAGAACAAAACACCTAAAAGTTGATTTTTTTGGAAAAAAGAAAAAAAAAGAGTAGAGGGTGAGGTGGATACAATCTAAACTGCCGTAGCTATCCACCAACTACTGACTCACTGAGCCCATGGAAAACCTCACCCCACAGCTGGAGGAGCTGCTGCTACGGCTTACTGGGATTTTTGGAGCTGCTTCCAAAGCACCCAGTGCCAACTACTTTCAGACACGGACCTGCAAATCAAACTGGCTATTACTTTTTACTTGCCAGTACAGCAACTGCTCTGCTCCTTCCCTCTTAGACCTTTTCCTTCACCTTTTTCCATTATTCCTATCCCCAGGCAAGCCAGCTGAGCCCTGGCTCTTCTACTGGGGAGAGCTGGGTGGAGGTGAAACCCCAACGCACTGCTCGAACAGCTTCGGGTGTTTGGTGCTTTGGAAGAGCTCTTGGTTGTTTTGAAGGAACCGTACCTCTCCTCCCAGGAGGAACCTGGCAGGCTGATGTCCTCCCTGGCCTTTTTCTTCTCCCTCTGCTTTACTGCTGTCTTCTTCTCCTTCACCAGGCTGTGGTCCCCACCGGGCAGGCTGCTCAGGAGAGCACTTGAAGGGCGAAGGTGCCGGGGCAGTAACCTCAATGTGCAGGACAGAGCCATGGTGCTCTGAGGAAAACGACCTGGGAGACCTGGTGGACAACAGGATGACCATGAGCCAGCAACGTGCCCCTGTGGCCAAGAAGGCCAATGGCATCCTGGGGTGCATCAGGAAGAGTGTGGTCAGCAGGTTGTGGGAAGTCATCCTCCCCCTCTGCTCTGCCCTGGGGAGGCCCCATCTGGAGCACTGGGACCAGTTCTGGGCTCCCCAGTTCAAGGACAGGGAACTGCTGGAAAGGGTACAGCAAAGGGCCACAAAGATGATGAGGGGCCTGGAGCATCTCTCTTACGAGGAGAGGCTGAGGGACTTGGGTCTTTTTAGTCTTGAGAAGACTTAGGGGGAATCTAATCAATGCATACAAATACTTAAAGAGATGGTGTCAGGAGGATGGGGCTGGTCTTTTTTCAGTGGTGCCCAAGGACAGGACAAGAGGTAACGGGCACAAACTTGGGTATAAGAAGTTCCACCTAAACATGAGGAGGAACTTCTTTCCTTCGAGGGTGGCAGAGCCCTGGAAGAGGCTGCCCAGGGAGGTGATGGAGTCTCCTTCTCTGGAGACATTCAAAACCCACCTGGACACGTTCCTGTGCAACCTGCTCTGGGTGGACCTGCTTTGGTGGGGGGGTTGGACTAGATGATCTCCAGAGGTCCCTTCCCACCCCATATCATTCTGTGATTCTATGGTGGGAAGGAGAGGGACAAGCAGCACAGTGAGCCACCATCAGCCCCCACGTCGGTGGCCAGATCGCTCCAGAAAATAAACCATTTGGTTTCTAAACACACCCGGGGCCGTGCATCTGACCCGGGGGAGCGTCTGGGCTTTGCTGGGAGCTGCCCCGACCCCGGGAAGGGGCGACCGGGAGCGGCGGTCCCCTCCTGGGCCACGGGCGAGCGGCCACGCTACCGGCCACGCTTGCCCGGGGTCTGCCCGTTGCTTCCACCGACCCCGCCGCTACCGGTCGCTCGGCTCCCACATGGCGGGGAGCGGCCTTTCCGCCGCCGCGCACGGTGTTTACGGCGGAATCCCCCCCGCCGCGAGGCGGCCGAGCCCCCGTCGCGACCGGCTCCCCCCGCCCCACGCGTGTCTCCGCTCGGTGGCTTCCCCCCCCGCGACCTTGTGGCCCCCGTACCTTGGCTCGCCTCCCGCTGCAGCGGGGCCCCGGTGGCCGGGCAGCTCCCGGGAGCGCCGCCCCTCCGGGAACGCCGAGGCGGAGCCCGGTAGCGCGGCGGGGAGCCCCTGCGGAGCGGGGCAAGGGGCTCCCGCTGGCCCCGTCGGAACCGGGGAGGGATCGGCCGGTGTCACTGCTCCGAGCGGCCCCTGCGGACAACCGAAAGCCAGAGAGAAGCAGCGGGCGGGCCCCGGTCCGTC